ACGACACCTGAGCTGGCATCCCCCTCTCCTAACTTCCACACCACGACAACGGGAGAACTTTGGGCCCCGACAGATTTAACGTGCATCAGTCCCGGCTACACGGCGGGTCTTTAGCGGCCAAGGATCGAACCCGCGACTGAACGAAAATCGCCGGCTATGAAAGAGGAACCATCACACTAGTCTACCGCGGCTACAAATGGTTATGGATGAATAACTGGTTGAGAATGCCTTGTCCAGAAAATCACTCCTTTCGTCTCACTGTGGGTCCTAAGTATTCTCGTTAGCGGTGTGTGGAAATTTGGAGAGGGAGGTACCAGCACAGGTGTCGTCCTCGTCACTTTACTGGGGCTAAGAAATACGAAGTCCATCACCAATAATTTTTGCATTGCTTCGCAGTGCGACGTAAATAAACAATCACAATCGCATTAATCAACAAATAAAATTTTTTAAAGAAAATTGAATTTATATTACTTTATCCCTTTCAGGGGAAATGGTATATCTTTTATAAAACATATTTAGTACCCTGAAATCTCTGTAAAATACCTTTTCCCCCCACACATTTATCTTCAAATTGTAACTTATAAGTGTTATTTCCTTAAATTAGACGGCACAACTATGGAGAACGATTATAAAAATAATTGCTTTGAATCTAATGAAATTTCGTAACAAGTGGTTGCATTTTCCCTTACAGAAATGTTTCTGAAATGAATTGGAATTTTTAATTTCATCAGTTAACCAATCTACATTTTTGAAACTAAACGTAAAATTTGCAAATTACCCAAAAAATATATAAAGTATTCATTTCATACTTTAAACTAAGTGGTATAAAATTTATACCACCGCCCACACAGAGTGCTAGAGAGCAACAGATGTAGGTACTAAAATGTTCGAATCAGACTTATATGTGAGGGTTCACTTTGTTGCAATGAAATATAGAAGTCGTAAATATGTTATAAAGTGCCCGTGAGGCAAAATTCAGACTTATTCTCCGAAGGAAAGAAATTTAAACAGGAAAAAAAGTTCTATGCAAAGTTTTGCAAAGAACAAATTTAGCCTTCTAAGGTGGGCTCTTTTTATAATTATTACTAAATTATTCAGTTAAATATACATAAAAGAATTAAAAGTAAACGATGAAATATCGAGAAATGGACGATAGTAAACTTTTCCGATATTAAAATGAAAGGAACCGATAAATTATTAAATTGAATATATTTATAAGATAAATTTAATTAAAATTAAAAAATTTAAATTATTCAATTGAATATATATCAGCTACATACAATTAAAACTATGAAAATTAAAATAATGAAAAATTAGTAAATTTAATATGTCTGAGATAAATGTAATTAAAAATGAAGCAAACGATATAAAACTGAATAGTGGTCTGGTACAGTAAAATGCTTCATCTAAAACATTAGCCCCTTGGGTGGCTAATAAAAATTTATCAACGCTATGCGAGCCCACAAAAAGACAACAAACAAAAGCGCGGGGGGAAAAGGATTTCTCAAAACCAAATCTATTGCAAAAATAAATAAATAAATAAATAAAATCCAACAAAGCGAAAACGGAGGAAGAGTACTCGAAAGCGTCTAAGATAGAACTGGTGGAAGACAGCAGATTAGGGACTTGTTGTTGTTGATAAACGTGAGACTCACAAACAGTAATTGATATATAGTGTAAGCATGAGATAAAAATAGACAATAAGCTGCCGACAATTGAGGGACGACAGTAGGGGTTCGTTGCCTCTAGCGATGAACTTTATCAAAAAATCTAAGTAAGCTAAGATGTAAATCATTGAAGAAAGGTATTACAAAACATACAATACAGCAAAGAGTTACGCGCTTTGTAATAACAGAGCCCTCAGCGTACAACCCAAAAATACTTCAGAATAAGGAGAACTGACCACCTTTTTTTTGTCAAATCTGTCCATCACATATGTAAGAGGGTATGTTTCGAATGCGAAACAATTACCGTGAACGGCTAGTTTTTGAACTCTTACGGATCTACTCTTACTCTTAATTCTATTTAAAATAGCCATATAATCTAGTTTTAAATATATATATTTATAAAAAGTTTTTTTTAAATATATATATTTATAAAAAAACATTTTTAAAAGAATGCCTACACGGGTCGATTGAAAAAACTTGTTTTGTTTAAAAAGCTCTTTTCCGATAGATCGGACTTACCTTCAGAAACAAGTGAGGAAGGAAATATCTTTCTAGTATATGCAATAAAAAATATGCCTTATTTTAAATAAAACTGTATAGGCATTTCTACTAAATTTGGGTTATTAAGTTTATAGTATAGTTTTATCATCAAATTATGAAAATCATATATATGTATAAAAAATTATACTTAAATTATTTAACACACATTTTCGCCCAAATTATCACTCATAGAAATAAAAATACATCATAAAGTTCTCATTTTTTCAAAAGTGCTTTGTGATCCTAATACTTTCCAAATTAACTTAAAATAATATACTTTTTCTTATGAAAGTTTTTATTATTTCTTCGAAGGAATACGAAACAACAAGTCTACAAATAAGATGTTCTAGAGGAGCGGTGGTATATTATAGATACCGGGTCTTAAGAATCAGGAAATAAATAAAAATTAATTTTACCACTCGATATTGTGGCCTTTTAACATAATTAATTCATATCAGATGAATTTTAACTAAAATTTAATGTTTTTTTTATATACCGCTCCTCAAAGGGTTATCAACCAATCCTTAAAAGATCATTGTAATTTTCTGGCGTTTTGTTAATCTTTTGCATCGCAAATCTACTCGCTGTACCGTAATCCGAGATTCTTGTTAATCAAAACCATTTAAGAATAGCTCTGCTGTTTCAAGGGTCTCAGAGCGTGTGAATGGTGTCAGTTTTGTACATCTTTCTCTTCCTCATTATCCGACACCTCTTCACAAAAAACATCTTTACAAATATTTTCCTCTGTACTTGTCCCTACCTACCGACTGATCATTATCCATTATTCATTACACATCAACAAAACTATATATATATGTAGACGGTGGGGTGATGAGACTGTACATCCCAAATCTACGATGGTTTGCTCTTACGCGAAGGGCTGGGTTGCCTAGGGGAATAATTCCATTACCGGATTCTATGATGATTTCGTAGGAATTCAATGATGAGGCTCAACTTGTTTTACTTCACTTATTAGAAGAGATGATGAAGAGTGAAAATATTTACAACAGGAGATGACGAATTGACCAGTTCATCAGAGCAAGATAGATATCTGCCTCATTGTATGGTATATCAGCGATGGGCGTCGGAACGCGCTCTGGCATTCGGAGTTTATTTCCGAAGTGGGTAATGCGAAGGAGAAGAGAAGCGGAAAGTGGAGGAAAGAGAGCGAAAACGAAATATCGCTCAGTTTTGTTCTGAAATAGGTGGCGCTGCACGAGCTATCACATAACGCTGATTCGAGGGGCCATCTATCGAGTAACTGAGGAACTGATTTTACAGTACATTGGAAAATAAAATTAATTATTTCATAATTAGGTGGAAAATCCTTTATATATATATATACCTTCTGGATACCTTCGCAATCTTTCTCTATTTTCGACCTTCTTTCCTGTCATAACCAGTTTATATGCCCCCGCCCCCACATTTTTCAAACGTTTACATCAGTCAGTATAATCTTGTTTGGCTCAGCACAGCTATATTTGGTTCTGGCGTCATTACATTTTCCCATCACTTACACTCACTCTTGCCAATTAATTTCTTGTTGAAAAAATGCTAACCCGAATGTTTTACTTTCCGAGATAGAATGATTCATATATTTAAAGTTGAATATTTTTTTTTTTTTTACTAATGCCTGTTTTTAAGAGGAAATCTTGACGTCATCCAATTAAAATATTAATCAGAGTCCAATAAAAAGTAAAATAAGAATTAAGACGCAATACAATAAGAATTAGATCTCTTGGACTAATATCACAAGGGATTGTCTATCGAAGGAGATATAGTTAAACTACGCTTAATGCAAACTCGTGTGTTACTGAATCAAACGATAAAGGGACCGACTGTATTTGCCACCTTCAGTTGCTAACTTTTAGTACGCATATGAATCATATCCATGAAGTAACCTTGTAGTCTTCCCTCATAGGTTCACTTTTTTTTATATAGGTACTGGATTCATGACCTCGAGACACCCTAGTGATCTTTTCCTTTCCCTTTGGGCAAACTATATTTGGTAAACAAGGGTGACGCTTCCGCGGGATACCTCAACATCTTTTTCTATTTTCGATCCTCCTAGTTACTCCCCCCTTTTGCTTCGATATTTCTGATGTCCAGATTTTAGTACACATGGTTTGGCGCAGCATAGCCAAATTTGGTTCTTCCTAGGGGTAGCTTAGCCTAGTTTGGTTCCTACGCCACAAAGCTCAAACACTACTCATTCTTATCCTTATACAAACCCGCATAATTATTTGTAAATTTGAACAACCTTGTGGTTTATAAATTGAAATGTTCGAAAAATATAGAAAATTTAATCATCAATATTTTATAATTTAATCAACAAGAATATATAGAGTAATATTGAAAATAAAGGCTTAAAAAAGAAACAAATGGGAAAAATATTTTAAAACTTAAAATATTTTATAGATTGCTCGAACAAAGTTATTTATAGATCACCTGCTAGCAATTTTCTTAGAAAACCTTCCAAAAAAATAACCTTATACAAATTAAACATTACATGTCTTAAATGTATCATAATCAGCAACTATTAGGTGATCAAGTATAAAAGAATAGTCCCAATGTAGCTCTTGTATGCCGTATGAGGCGACTAAAATGGGTACTCAGTGTCTGGAGGTATAGCCACCAAGCACCCTCCCCTTGGACATTATCCTCCTGGTTGGCTGACCTCAGGACCTTGTCTTCTTTATGTAAGTACAGGCATAATGATCCTGTTTACCGCCTAACTGAGGCATTCCACGTGAGGAGAGAATTCACAGTACGAGATAGCGAAACTTCTAACTTCCCTCCTCAGCCCTCTGAACCAATCCTTATCCTGAAGTGACGGATCGAACTTGCCGGCTTTGCTTACGTACATCATTTTATCGACTAGAGGTAGTTCCCCTTAGAGATATTCTGAGGTTATGGATACGGATTGGCCCGAAAATAACACTCTATCTCTCAGATTTGCAAGGGCCGGTAGAGGGGTCATGGACACTCTCGTGAAACGAGTTGTTTCTTTGAGATCATGTTTTTATCTCTTATGAAAAACCCTCTTTCCCGGTTCCTTGACAGATGCCTCAGTTTGCGTTACCGCGATCGGGTCGGAGCCCTAATCTACATTCTAGGACTCTTAAAGCGATTCTTTTTTGTTCGGCATCGATACAAATTCAGGAATCGTTAAGGTCTCGTTTTTGTAACAGATCTCTGCGATCCCTTAGAGTCGGATCACCCATGTTCAATATCTGTTCACATGGAACCCTTTTCCATCATCAAGGTTCTCATTTGAGTATTTGCTACAACTCCCAAGGTCTGTACCAACGGAGTCTCCAGAAAATATTGTTCCTGTGCCTTCGACACTCTCGGTCGCGACCCTCTTTCTCCCTGCCATCCTAAGTCCCGTAGTCAAATAGATGTACCATCCATTTTTAGAGCTAATTGCCTCATCAGATCAGTTATAATACTCTTAGAGAATTCCTACTTCCATGGACACCATCCTATTTTCAAGAGCAACCAACACCTTACGTAGGATCTCAGGAGCGTCTCGCATCAGGCACCGTAACCCAGCGTTTGGTTCATTCCGAGGCGCCAGTCCCGCGTACCAAAAGAGGCCCGCTGGGTACTCTCCTTCATCGTCCTGGTTAACCGAAGCAAGGGCGACTTTCGACCATTGAATATTTGAGAATAGGTTACGATTGTATCGGCCCCAATGCATCTAATCATTCGCTTTAATAGAAGAGATTGAACTCCAGGCCCCAGTTATTGTGAGGGAACCAGCTACAAGACCTCCACTAGAATTTCTTCTGACTTCGTCCTGTCCGGGCATAGTTCATCTTTTGGGTCCCAACGTATGCGCTCATACTCCATTCCACCGCTATAGAGTGGATGGGACTGGCCGAAGATGCAGATTCTCGTTAATTTCCTGTTTTAAATATAATCGATACCCAGTGACTCGTAGACATGTTAGTCTCTTTGGTTCACATTTCAAGACGAGTCGGGTGGGGAACCTACCAACTCACCATGGTGTCAACTTCGGCGCGTGGAATACTCCGCGCCATAAGACCCGAAACGAACCCAAATAAATCAGGGTAGAAGTCCCTGAAGGCATCGACAGCACTGAAAATCGTTGGGTCGCGTCATGTAACAAGGACCACACTCGAAGGTCCAAATAAACTGAAGAATTACCTTCGCCGCTTCCTGCCCCAACGCGGATAACACTCGAAAGTCTAAATTAACCGGGAAATATACGGAAGTCCAACGCGGGACACAGAATCGTTGATTCGTGTCATGCAAACAGGACTGCAAGTGTCGGTTCAAATGCACCTGCCCGAGCACCGACTCAAATTTCCTTCTTGCCAAACCAATATCCAGTAAACCTTCGACAACCTTAAGCCAATCCTTCAAAACCGAGGATGCTCCGATTCACCATCATCGCATCCCCTACAACAATGCATTATCACTCATTCGTAACCGGAACGCACATGTACGGCCGGCGCAGTCTTTATCACTGCCTGAAAGATAACAATCTCGTTGCCATGAAACCAGATTCCAGCAACGAATCACTGCCTGACCCAATCGGAGCAACAACATAAACAGCTATAGAAAAAATACCCGCATCTCAAGTAGTCTTCGATCACACAAAGCTCCAAAGCTCATGTCAAGAGAGGTGTTCGCTCTGTATGTAATTCGCAGTCACTTCCCGACGAGAGGAGCGGTGAAGTTTAACGCTTGGATTCGAAAAAAGGGCTTTTTTCGTCTTTTTTCAAGTACATTTTTCACACTCATATAAAATAACAGATCGTTTGGACTTGGACAGAATTTCGATCATTTCGGAACTTGGAATTTTTGCATGTGGTACACCGAACTACGGACGTAGAATATCTTTCGGTCTGGGAAACATTTTCGTTCGGAATGCATTCAGGACTTCAAAAAGTTCACGGACTGAAATTTATTCAAAATTTTTGTTCAATTTCGATTTTTTTTTTTTTTAAAAAAAATATATGTTTTTGATTGAAAAGGGTGCACGATAGAGAACATGTTCCACAAAGTGGGCAAAAGTCATCCACATATAAGTTTTTCAATTTATTTATTACACTTTACGAAATATTTGCATTTCAATTGCATGCTTACGACGAGTAATCAAATATGTGAAGATACTCAGAAAATTCGTTGCCACAAATGTCTTCAAACTTCCAAATATCACAAGTATTCAGAGTACTTACAAGATGTGATACATATATTGAACAGATTAAATAGTATACAACAAATGTAAGAAAATATTTACAACACTTTATTAACAAATCGAATTTAAACTTTTAAATTTGTAATTCGGTGATGGATCTGGAGACCAATGTTTTGAGTAATGATGCGTAATTGAAAATCTGATGTGCGTCCCTATAAAAAATATGCAGAGATTCGAAAACTAAAATTATTTAATTCTAATGAAATTAAATTGAAATACATTCGTTATATGTTCACTAAAATAAATTCTATCTATAAAAAGAGTAAATCGGATTAAAATGTATACATTATTTATTTAGTTTTCTGAAAATTTTCTGATGTTGTTTGCATAAGAAACCATAGGAAAATAATTTATGTTCTTTAGTAATTTATATATTTACATTCTAGTTGCATCTAGATAAAAATAGCTTTAACTTAATAATTATTTAATTCGAAAGCGTTAGATTTTATCAAACGATTTTATATTCATAACAAATTATTCTCGACGGTCATTAACTTATCTTTTTTTCAAATGTTTCAATAACATATTTGGATTTGTATTAATATGTTAGATCAAACTCAACGCAAAGGAAATTTTAAATTTTCATTTACTTATTGTAATGAAAGAAAAATAATTCCGATAAACAGCAACTAGGAAATTTTAAAGAAATAATTTGCTATGATTCAAAACAGATGTTGTATATTTATATTGATGATGTCAAAAAGAATAAATGAAATTATTATAACAAAAATAGATAAGAAAGGAATTAATTTTTGTGATGTTAAACGGATGTAAAAAAAATTTATATCATGAGAGATAAAACGGAAGTGAAAATTTTATGGAATTGGCAATGCTGATCTAAAAAACTTTATGATATGAGTGGCGAAACGGAAATACAGAATTCCATTCAATAAGTGGAAAACGGAAATGCGAAATTTATTTATATGAGTGCATAGCAGAAGTAAAGAATTTTATGCCAGCAGTGGCAAAACAGAGTAAAAAAATTTATTTCAGTGATAGCAAAACGGAAGAGCAAAATTTATTGACATGAGTGGCAAAACGCATATAAGAAATTCAATGCTGGATTTCC